CTGACCTGCGAAGGAGCGAGGGAATCGAGTCGTACAACACGGTGATTTGTGATTAAAGTCGCTCTGATTCGTGGTTGGGAGCCACTAGTTGACGATGTTTGCTAGTAAGTGTTGACGTTTTTACTTTATTAAGAAGGCTGCGTTAAATGAAACTGCCAGGCCGTAGCTAATCTCCTGTGACTCATTGAATCACAGGGTGACTTCGGTGAGTGGTCGTCTGGTCCCACCCACTGTGCAAAGCGGGGCTGGCTGGGGTTGCTCAGGGCCGCGCGCAGCTGAGCTTGGGTATCTCCAAGGATGGAGAACCCCATAGGTTTTCCAGGCACTGGTTCCAGGGAGTGATAGCCCTCATGGTGAAAAATGGTTTTGCGATACCTAATTGGCACTTCTGTTCTTGCGGTATGCGTCCGTGTTCTCTTACTGCGCTTGTCTAGGAAAAGGTTCTCTGTTTTCTTTCTGCCTGCCCCCTAGGTACTTGAAGACAGCAAGAAAGTTGCCCCCTTGCCTTCTCTTTGCAAGACTGAATCAAGACGGCTCTTTCAGCCTCTCCTGGCATGCACGTGCTCCCAGGCCCCAGTCGTCGTGCTAGCTCTCTGATGGGCTTGCTCCAGTTTTTCTTTCTTGTATCGGGGAGCCCACAGCTGGACACAGCACGTCAGAGGCAGTCTCGTAAATGTCAAGTGGAAGGAAATAATCGTGTGTGCCCATGTGACACAGAAGCTCAGTTTGTGGCAAAGCGCATGAAACTTTGGTAGCAATAATTAGAGCTAGATAGAAACAAGTACGTCGTTAGTCTTAAGAATATGGGCATTACAAATTTCTTTTTTCTGCCAGAACAAAACCGAGAATTTTCTATGCACATACACACGTAAACTTAGTTAAAACCAGTGCATGGTTAGGATGCACTTGCTATGTAGCATACCTAGGTGCAAGTTCCCAGTGCAAACCTACTGCATTATGTTCAGAGTGGTGACTTGATAGAGTCAAGTAGAAATGTAGCCCAGCTAGATTCAGAGCTGGAAGTAGGCACGAGCCTTCTGTATCTCATAGCTGCTGTACCGTCATCTATTCTGGAAAATCTTTTTTACTGTATCTGAAAAGTGGAGGAAGCATCGCTGACTTGGTTTTATTTTTAACAAAGAAGCAGTCAAGAACGTTTCTGACTTAGGTTACTGATAATTATTTAATGCATGTGAATCCATATTACTTAATGACCTGTGGTGGATACGGTGGTTTGAGTGACCTCCTCATTTTCTATTTGGCATCTGAATTTGCCCAACAGGAAGCCAGTTAGGGTTATGTAGCCTAACTTTGAGGCAGAACAGGTACATTAGATGGAAATGCACTAGGTTTTCTAGTCCCCTTTGAAACAGCTGTGCTGCCGGGGTACATGTTACACAACAAAACTCTGTTAGGTGAATGGGGAGTGTATATTTAACAGGTATGTATATTAAACAGCCTGAAGCAGTTTATGGAAAATACCTCTTCTGCATTTGTTCACATGGGTGTGACTTGGCGTTGCTGTTGCTGTCGTACATATTTTTATTCTGATGATCCCATGATGTCTTTGGATGGAAGAACTTAACTAAAGCGCCATTTGCTATGTACAGTGCATTGAGAACGCCAGTGTTGCTGAGAGAAGGGTTATTTTTCATAATTTTTGTTTTTATATCTCACATGCTTTTTTGTCACAATGATGGCAGCAGTGGCCTCACAGTGCTCAGCTAGTGTTTATCTTCACATAATACTCAGATCTAGCCCTTCCTTTTGTAAATGTTTATTATCCCATAACAATCACAATCTTGCTTTACCAGTATTGAAGGTTTTCTGTGCCAAAACACATGTGATTGTAACTTGAACAGCTCTTTCTCTGGGATTGCTTGCAGCCTAATTAACACATTTTAGATCACTTGCAGAATAAGCTAATCTTCTAACTGTGTGGCAGTTTACTTGTCAGCCTTGTTTCTGAACTCTTAAATGATTTTGAATGCCTCGTTCAACTCATTCATAATTCATTGATCTGCTAGCATGCCTAATAAATTGTGATGTGCTGACACTGGATTTTTCTGGTAACTGAATTTTATGTTGCTTAAGTTTCCTACATATGTGGTAGATCAAGCACTCTACAGTATTAACTTGAAGTGCAACCCAGGCTTGAGATTTAACAACCTGGTGAATGTGTGTGTTTTATCCCTATTGTTAAAAGTTGCTTGTTGGACTGATGGGGATAGTTTTACTATCGCAAATATAAGAACTAGTTCCTTTCATTGCAAGGTGTAATAACGTATATAAGCCAGGGTGTTGTTCAGGTTAGAGGTGGTGTTCAGGTTAGATTATGGCAGGCAAGTCAACAATGCTTGGATTTGTTCTTTATATTCATTTCTGTCACTGTCTGCCAACAGTGTATGGGTTTCTACAGACCATGATGAAATTGAGAAGGTTGCAAAGCAGTTTGGCGCTCAAGTTCATCGCAGAAGCCCCGAAGTATCTCAAGACTCCTCAACTTCTCTAGAAGCTATCAGAGAATTTCTTAATCATCATCATGGTAAATCAGTAATGAAATACGCTGTAGCCCCAGAGGGATGATGCACTTATTTAGAAAAATAAGTAAAGCCTGTAGTAAATAAAAGCTAGAAAGTTTCTCCTTTTTTGTGGCATCCACTCATACCATACTTTGCAGTTGTGTATTAAAAATATTCATTGTTTCATAAATGCTTGTTTGTTTTTCTTTAGAGGTTGATATTGTAGGAAATATACAAGCAACATCTCCCTGTTTACATCCCAGTGATCTTATAAAAGTGGCAGATCTGATCCAGAAGGAGGGGTTTGATTCTGTCTTCTCTGTTGTGAGACGGCATCAATTTAGATGGAGCGAGGTAAAAAAAGGAGGTAATATTTAGCTGTTTCTGGTTACAGTTATACTTAATCAAATTTTTTTTCAAATGGTTTATTTTCATACCCATGGTATTTACATTAGCAAGTCATATCAGAGGCAGGGGCTGAGTTCTTGGAGAGGTGTGAGATGGCTTAGAAATTTCCTTTTAAGTAGTGCTGTTTTGATATCACTGATCATTGCTCAGCCTTTCTGTAATTGTTTTTTAGAAGTGATAAAGTATTGAAAATTAAAATGTTATTAACTTGCCTAGGCTCAAAATATAGCTCCCAAAAACTTAACGTGTAAACTTCTGCTTGGCGGATATTCATGTGTATGTAGACATGACACTGAGGTCATGTCTTAACTGGGAAAGTGTTTGTGCTTACTATGCAGTAGCTAACAAATGACAAATAAGGTGAGGTAAAGTCTTAGTGAAGATGGGATGGCACCCTCTTAGCCTGGAGACTTAGGGTTTGTTTCAGCCTGCTAATTTGGCTGCTAACATACGTCAAATTGCAAACTGCCTTTGAGTCATGAGGGCTGAACTCATGTTATTAGCTCATACAGAAGAATATGACTTTTTCCCCGAGAAAATATGCTCTCAGGTACAGTTGCTAAGATGACTAAAGACTGAAGTCTTTACTTACAAATAAAGTTTGTACCTTGTTGTAGCTGTAGAAGTACCTTTTGTTCTTGTACAAAGAACTATTCCACACATTATCTATGTTGTTTTTGTGATTAAAGCAGAAATGTTTGCTTCTTTCTCTCAAAATGGTTAGTGCAGATACTGCCACATTATTGTTTTTATTTTTAAAAAAATGTGTTACTCAGACATTACAATTCTGTTGAGATGAAAAAAATTCATCTGAAGCATTTTATGTGGTTTACAAAGCATCATGCTGTAAAAGAGCATGCAAAATAAATCAAGCTTGATATTAGAGATAAGTTGGAATGAAAGTTAGGCCTTTGTTTCGAATAAACAGGTAACTTGAACATTCTCATTGTTCCTCATAAGAGGAGAAATAACATGACACAGTTTGTTCGTAAAGTATAAAAGGAGTATCGAAGTCGTGGATGGCAGGTTAGGGTTCTGTGGATTGCACTTTAGGCAACCAAGTGAAAGTCCACTTTGCATCTTGAGATGCTAGAATGGACATCTGTGAAAGACTAAATCTCATTTGGATGTACCGTGTGGCTTTCTGAAGTGATTGTGTGCCACCTAGTCTCTATAGGTAGATTATTAAAACAAAAAAGCCTCAAGGCTTACCTAAAAGAGCAAATGATTCTGTAGTATAAAATGACATCTAAAGCCTTTTGATGTGGCGAGAGATAAAGAATCATTCAGTTGCAAGGAGTATATGCAAGGAGAACAAGGAACACATTGTGCAAAGATTAGCAGCTTAAGGGTAAAAGCAAATGGCCTTTCCAGGAGTGTGGTGTTTCAGGTGACAGTGATTCACAGGAGCATTATACAGTTTAATATTGTACTCTTTTTTTTTTTTCTCTTTTTTTTCCCCAGACAGCTTTAAAGTACTTATTATGTTAAGAGTTTTATATCTTTTCCTATGTATTTCTGTTGTTCCTTCTGCATTAAGGTTTAATGTTGATGCACCCTGAAAGAGAAAGGTGTCTCTCTCTGACTGGAAATGTTTACTTCATTGAGCACAAAGCTCTAGTGTATTTATGAAATACAAGGTGTGTATATATACTAAAGCCTCAAGATGTTTTGGGTGTTCAAGAATGCCCTCTTTTTCATCGTTAACTAGATCATGAAACCTGGTGAATTTTAGCTGCTTTGTGCATGTGAATTTGGGTGGCGTAAGGACAGAAGTCTCTGGTCCCTGGTTCAGTTTCTGCTGCATGCACTACTGGCATTGATAGCAATATGGGATCTTACGGGATCATGTTTGTTCAAAGACACTTGTTTGTTTATTTGTGGACATTGATTAAACCACTTATGAAAAGTTAATATGTGTATCCTTAAATAGGAAGTATTTTGGGGAAGTGCAATGATGTTTTCACAGGCAAAATTTCTTCTCATATGCTCCTCTTTCACCTTCCAGATTTCAGGTTGGTCCTC